AGAACCTAGCTGCTACCACCGACCTAGGGTTTTTTCCTCCAAAACCTTCGATCGCTTTTTGGTCAATCTGAACCCAGTTAAACAAAACCCTAGTTTACCTCAGTTCAACAAAACCACTAGTTTGACTCAAACTGAAGGAACCCGATCCCAACCTTGAGTAGAGAAGGAGAAAAAAAACTTTTGGATAATCATCATAAACAAGTATGGAGTCTACACTTTCCTAGCCGTTGATATTCAACTTATTGGAGTTGAAAACTATAAAACATAGGGGCTAACCATTCAATATAATCTCCTTGCTTCTGGGTTATGGAGATATATTGATGGTTCTCTTCCATGTCCTCCTCAGACTTCTCTAAATGTTGCATCATCTGGATGGAACTTTACAACTAATGATTCAGTTGTTACACTAGGCTTACTTTTGTTACTAACAAGATTACATATTAGTAGTAGAACTGTATGGGACATATATTATGTGATATATATATGGTTCTATTCGACTATGTATTGGTCATCTGTCTACTTCACATGAAAACTGGATTAAACTTTTCTACATGCTTCTGCAAACTAGAACCGCCAAAGACTATAAGTTATATCAAGTCCTTCAGGAAGCTCGCAAAGATAATCGATCTATTCAGAACTTCTATACTCTTCTTTCCAACTATTGGGAAAAACTCAAGCTATTAGAGGTAAATGTCCCAGCATCATTGGCTAATTGTGCTTGAGATTTTGAGGCTCAGCATGATCGTCAGCATCTATATAATTTTGTGATCCGATTGCTCCCTAAATTTGAGTCACTGAGGGCTCATATTTTTACAAATCACTACTTTCATGATTATATGTGCTTTTGTGGAGCTATTTTTGAGGGAACGCCCCTTTGTCTTCTAAACAGTATTCCTCTCCTATTGCTAGAATACTTGCTACTCAATCTCGAGTTCAAAACTCGACCCACGGACAATATCAGAAGGATCATGGCTAATCACATACTCAGGGATCTTAGCAGAGTATTTCTCCTAGAGTTTGTCATAATTACAAGCTTGAAGGCCATTGGCTTTGACACCATCCGACACCACCTTCAAATCCATGTTCCAAATGTAGGCTTCAAAGACACTAGCTGCTCATAATAGTCTTTCTTTAGAACTATTTGATTTAGTACATTCTGATATTTAGGCTCCTATGCCTCTTGTATCCATGTCTGGTTATAGATATTATGTGAGCTTTATTTATTGATTTTTGGATACACTGGGTCTATCTCTTGAAATTATGTGCATAATTTTTTGATATTTAGAAAGACTTTACCAATATGATTTATACTCAATTTGAAAAAAGAGTTAAAGTCTTTCAATC